TTGGGAAAGAGGGATTCTAGTTTGTACTGCTTGCTTTAGGAGATAATGAGTGGTGAAAGACAGGAGGGCAGAAGAAAGTCAGACAGAAACTTTGTTTCTGAGGTTGCTTCTGAGGTCTTTGCTAACTTTAATTCACCCTTCAATTTGTCAGTGATTCATTTCTTGTCTTTGGAGTTGGTATGAATTTATCTTGAAGATCCTCAGGTTGATCTAAAGTTCTGTTCAAATAGTCTATGTATTTCACATATTTTTACCAGCTATCAAAAAGTCTTATTAGGAATGGTTTGATAGTACACACACACACACACACACACACACACAAAACAGTAAATGTACTATACAGTGACTGTCAAATGTGCTGACCCAACAACTTCTAATGGCATAAGGGAAAATCTCTTCCAACTCCACCATCCTGCTAATGAGAGATAGGGGAGGTGAGTTGAAGAGGTAGGTAGTGACTGCAATCTGGGTATAATGCCCCAAGTGACAAGTTACAAGCTCAGCTATCCTGTTCCATCTCCACATTTTAAGCAAGTATTAAACTTTGTTCTATAGTATGCTCTTGTTTCTTTCTATTTAAAATAAGGATTCAATGCCTACCTCCCCGCACAATCAAAACTTACAGTAGGACTGCCTCTCCTTGAGGGAGCCTCCTGTTCTCCTTAGTTTCACATTTTTTCTCCCGAATACCTTGATATGTATCTGTGGTTTGAGAATTACAACTCTAATCTTTCTCTATTTCAAGTTATCTTCCATTCTTTAACATTCAGTAGAGTGTTCTTAAAGAATGACTGTAGGTAAACTCTTAACAGAAAATTGAATCATACATACCACGTCTTGTTAAGCAGTACTTTTAGCCCAGATTCTGTTATTTTTGATGGTAAAGTCTTTAAGTTATATTCTTTCATAGTACTTGAAACTACTAAAAATAATTGAAAAGGTTTAATTATCCTATTTACTGTTACAATTTGCTTTGTGCTATACATTTATTGCTATCTCTAGTGAGTTATAGTAACACTGCTGCAGGTGTTTTTAAAATAGATTGTATTGATTACCAGTATAAGACATGGTGAGTATCCAACTGAATTTTAGTTATGAGGAATAGGTGAAAAGGATTCTGTCAAGGAGATGTCAATTTGGCCCCAAGGGGCAAACTTTTTTGACAGTTCTGTACAAAGTAGGGGTTACTGAATAACTGCCCCTGTTATTTAGTAATTGACCCTGACAGCAGTGAAAAATTGAGGGGAGAGGGTGAGCAGAGAGTTAACAAGAAGAACCTCAAGTTATATAAAATATCCAAGAAGCATGAAAACTGGAAATCACACCGTGGAAGGAACATTGTTCCTGTCTAGTGACCAATTCCTCATTTGACTAATAAAAGAGAGAGAGAGAGAGAGAGAGAGAGGGAGAGAGAGAAATTGAGACATGAAACTAAAATATTCTGGGTAGATGCTAACTTTGAGACAAAACAAAGAGAGGCAAAACTGGAAGATTTTGCTCATCTAGTGGTAGGAATAGCCACATGCCAATTTTAATGGGAGTCAGTCCATAGAGAGCTCTATGGTAAATGCACAGAGGAAGAAACAAAGTACATATTCATTCATTCACATTTGGTTCATTTTTGTATATCTGGTTACCTATCAAGCATAGTATCTGTACATAGTTGAGATGCAGCAATTTACCCATTCATTCCTATGAGATATACAGCATTTATTAAGCATCTGCTACATTCTGGTGATAACGATACAGCAGTGAAGAAAACATAGCTCCTCACAAAGCTTACGTTCTGATATCACTAAAATGATTGCATATTCTGGCTGCAACCTGGGGAAACAGTGATCTAAAATGTTAATTATCAAGTGCCCAGATTCTAAAGCCAGTTGGCCTGGGCTTGAAAAGTATTCTGTCCCATTAACTCTCTGTGTGGTTTTGGACAAGTTATTTAATCATTTTGGGCCTCAGTTTCTTTATCAATAAAATGGGGGATATAATGAGTTAATACCTGTGTGTGTGTGTGTGTGTGTAAGTTAATATAAGTGCTCAAATCAGTGTTTGACACTGATAAGTGCCATATATATGTGTTAGATATCCTTCTTGTTAAGAGAAATTAATCTTAATTTAACTCATGGGTAAATAGTTCTTAATTACAGAATAAAAGGTAGAGACCAGGGAAGTCAAGACAACAAAACTTGAGACACCAAAAGCAAATGGATTATTCATGTTTGTATCATTTGTTCAAAGTAGATTATAGAAGGAAAGAGAGCACAATCCAGTGGTTAAGCTAGTTACCTGTATCTCTGACCTGCAGTTTCCTCATCTGTGAAGGAATAAGAAAAGATGTCCTTTTTAGGGGTTCTGGAAGGATCAAAGGAAATGATGTGTGTAAAATGCTTGGCACAAGGCATGGTTAAGGGTGAGCATTTATTAAATGGTGGCTATTTCAGTTGTAACCTGATTATATTAAACTGACATCATTTATTTAATAGTTTTTGCCATTGCATTTCAGTTCAAGAAGGATTTAAGGAAACTTTCAATCAGAGCATTTCATTTCTAAAAACCATTAAACATTGGTCTCACAGGAAGAAAACACTGCAACAGTCAGTCAAATCATGCATATTAAAAGTTAATGTTTTTCCAGTGAAAAGAGACCCTTCTGATAAGGTTTTTCAGTCTGTAAATTCTGGAGTCTAGATGGAATTGACAGATGGTCCAATTAGTTAAATTTATACTTAGGATCAAATGCAACTAAACTTCCATAAACTTACTCTTGAATCACATCATGATCTATTTCCAATACTTATTATTGCTAAATTTTTGTATTTTTGCATCTGTGTTCACAAACACAAATGACTTTATTTTTTTTAAGTCATATCTTGCTTGGGTAACAAGATTATAATTGACCTCATGAGTTAAGCTTCTTTATTTTTGTATTTTCTAAAATGATTTTTTTTAAAAAAGGTGGATGGTATTCTCACTTTATTGAATTGTTGATATTATTGGAAAACTATTTAGACCTAATATTTGCTTTTAGTTGTCATTGTTTATGAATTCCATTTCTTTAACTGTTGTCTTTTGAATCAGAATTTTTCTTTTACAAATATTTGTACAAAAATACAACTGTTTAGTAATATTTCAAATTTTTCAACAGAAAATTACTCAAAATAGTTACTACCATTTTTATCCATGCTAAATCAACAAATATTTGCTATTTTTGATATTAAATTTGAATTTCTTTTTTCTTCATTATTCTTGCCTAAAGTTTGAGCATTTTCAAAACTTGTGACATTATTACTCATTTCAAATTTCTAGTCCTTACCTTAACATTTTTCCTTCTTATTTTTTAGCATTTTACCACTTTTCTTTGTCTAGCTTCTTGAGTTGATCGATTTATTATTTTTCTGGAAAGTATGCAAACCTATAATTTCCTTCTGTTTAAATATACAACAAAATTTGGCATGTAGAACCTTCAGTGTCATTTAATTCTGAATAACTGAAATTCCTTCATAATTATTTCCTGATTTTCTCTGTATTTCCAAGGGTTGATTAATAATTTAGCTCCTAGACATATTTAATATATACCTTTTGTTTTCATTTTCTTATTGACTGTAGAAATGAAGCCAACTTTGACAGAAAGCTGCAATATTTGATTCTAATGTAGTTCTGGGAGTGATCTAGAATGCAGTGTCCAAAATCTTTGGATTCACAGTCAAGCTTAGATACTCAGAGAGTATCATATGCTTTAAAAAAAACTACATAGCAAAAGAATGCGCTTTTTTTTAATGTTCACATAAATTTAGGTAATTAAATAAAGGACAATTTCTCCCCTTTTTTGGAAGGAAACATCTAATGTTTCTATCCTAGCTTCTATCAAAATTTCAAAATAATTTAATGAGTCTGAAATTTATAGGCCACATTATTTTCATAAGAGAAACAACATGAATTCAAAGATCTGTGAGAATTTTATCAAGAAACAGTTTTTGCAAATATATTTTTGTGTTCATACCCATAAAGAGGCATGAATGCCGAAGAGAAAAAAACTCGAAGACGCTTTTCTTCTTTAAAAAAAAAAAGGCTTCACTCATCTTTTTAGCCACAATCTGTTAAAATCATTGACATCAAAGTTGTTCTTCATGAAATATAGCCCTTTTTGAGAATTTGTTTACATTTATTTTTATAATACCAATATCATCTTAATACAAAGAAAAACTTTTTTAAAGCCCTTAAGCTATATAATAAGTGAGAAAGTTGTTCCAATACAAATAGAACATTTGATTATTACATCTTGGTAGGTATTGGATGTACTAACAAATTATTAAAAGTAAACAAAGAAAACTGTAAGAAAAATATATAAATAAAAACAAAACACTGTGAGTTTTAAATTTATAAAATTTGCCTGCGTGTACTTGTTTTTTAGAAATGTATCAAATCAAGAGTTGCCATTTTTTTTACCGGATGATTATAGTAATGCATTTGCAAACTGTGAAGATAAATTTATAACGAGAAAAACAAAAATATAACTTTTTAAAAAACAGTTTAGTTTTCTATTGAATTCCATCTGAACCATAAAGTTATAGTACAGTCTCAATATGAGAGTAAATAAGTGATTATATCAACTGGGAAATGTTTACAAATCTGATGTGGTTACAAAATACTAAAACTTCTAGTCATGGCTTTAGAGATAACAGTTTAGGTTGTGCCAGTTTTCTACAAGCAAATAAAAATAGAACAGTTAAGGATAGCGTTGAAAAAAAAAGTTTCTTGGTTTGAAGATATGCTGGTACTTTTAGATGAGTTTTTGGGAAACTTCCTTTTGAAAGCAGTTTCTTGGCTTTGAGGAAAGTTCTGTTTCTCTTAATGGTTTGATAACACTGAAAAGGAAAATGCAGTTGATTACTACCTGTTTATCTCATATTTGTGATTTTAAATATATCTCAAATATATTTATGATTATCTCTTCATTCCCACCCCTACCTCCCCTTCTATCTTTCTCTGTTTCATAGAAAAAATTATGACATCAACATCCAAAGGAATTCTTCGCCCATTTTTAATTGTCTGCATTATCCTGGGCTGTTTCATGGCATGTCTTCTCATTTACATCAAACCTACCAACAGCTGGATCTTCAGTCCAATGGAATCAGCCAGCTCTGTGCTGAAAATGAAAAACTTCTTCTCCACCAAAACTGATTATTTTAATGAAACTACTATTCTGGTGTGGGTGTGGCCATTTGGGCAGACCTTTGACCTTACATCCTGCCAAGCAATGTTCAACATCCAAGGATGCCATCTCACAACGGACCGTTCACTGTACAACAAATCCCATGCAGTTCTGATCCATCACCGAGACATCAGTTGGGATCTGACAAATTTACCTCAGCAAGCTAGGCCACCCTTCCAGAAATGGATTTGGATGAATTTGGAGTCACCAACTCACACTCCTCAAAAGAGTGGCATTGAGCACTTGTTTAACCTGACTTTGACTTATCGCCGCGACTCAGATATCCAAGTGCCTTATGGCTTCTTGACGGTGAGCACAAATCCCTTTGTGTTTGAAGTGCCAAGCAAAGAGAAGTTGGTGTGCTGGGTTGTGAGTAACTGGAACCCTGAGCATGCCAGGGTCAAGTATTACAATGAGCTAAGCAAAAGCATTGAAATCCATACCTATGGGCAAGCATTTGGAGAATATGTCAATGATAAAAATTTGATTCCTACCATATCTACTTGTAAATTTTATCTTTCCTTTGAAAATTCAATCCACAAGGATTACATCACGGAAAAGCTCTACAATGCTTTTCTGGCTGGCTCTGTACCTGTTGTTCTGGGACCATCTAGAGAAAACTATGAGAATTACATTCCAGCAGATTCATTCATTCATGTGGAAGATTATAACTCTCCCAGTGAGCTAGCAAAGTATCTGAAGGAAGTCGACAAAAACAATAAGTTATACCTTAGTTACTTTAACTGGAGGAAGGATTTCACTGTAAATCTTCCACGATTTTGGGAATCACATGCCTGCTTGGCTTGTGATCATGTGAAAAGGCATCAAGAATATAAATCTGTTGGTAATTTAGAGAAATGGTTTTGGAATTAAAATTTTTCATCACTTGCACACTTGATAAATATTTTGATGAAGTATCATCCAAGTATTGAGGATAAGAAGAGATGCAACATACTACTATTGTGTCACAATTTATTTTTATCTCCCTCTCTAGGGTAACATGTATATTTTGGTGGAGATTTTTAAAAGCTCAGCATGAGCAATCATTCCATTTGGTTTTAAATTATCCTGTATATACCTAATTATGTGCACTGGAGAGTAATTTATTCTTCATTATCATTTGTAAACATTGTTTTTTCACATTTTTGTAGTTGTCTATAATGTAAGCTTGTGGTTTGATTATTGTTTCTACACTGATCAGCTGTTTAATCTATTTGGGAAATGAAGATGCACATCTTAAAGAATGAAAAATTTTCACTGAGTATTATAATGTCTAGTTCCAACTTTGCATACTATAACAAAGGAAGAACATGTTGCTATTGAATTCTAACCTCTTTGACTCTGAAGTTGAACGAAGTGTTTAACTGTCTCTATTTGATCTATTTTTTACCTGTTTACCACATTTGTGAAGGTGAAATTGTTCATGGAGTGAATTAGAAATATACAAAGCAGAACTGTTCTATTCAGAAAGCTATTAGACTTCTCATTTATTTTCATTAAGGTGATTTGCAGCTACTTATTCTCATGATCTTAAATTATTCAAGTATTTTTAAATATCCAATTTGTTGTGATTTTCAGCACCTGGGAAGTAATCCCAATAATACTTTAGAAAATCGAAGACAGTTCTCTTTCTGCTACTGATAACACTCATTGTCATAATAAAACAAATGATTTCCTCAAATAACAAAGAAAAATGATACCTATAAATATATTTATAAATGGTGTCATTTATGAAGAATGTTTAATTACTTACCAATTTAAGATTTTTTTTCTGAAGCCCTATTATTTAAAATCGTCTTATTTTACCATATGGATATAAGATTTGGCTCATAATGATGAGCCCTATCATTTGATTTGAGTTCTATCATTTCAGAGAGCCTAAATAAAATTATCACCAAGGAATTAAATATAAGATGTTAAATATAATAAAGTGGGGATATATAGAAAACACACAGTGTTAGCACAGAGTAAGATTTCAATGCACATTTGTTGGATGAATAAATAAATGCAATTGAATTCACAGAAAAATGTTTGTTTGTTTCAAGGAAGTGACAGTTCTACTTTAGAAGTACTAATTGGAGATGACTTTTATATCCCATTTTGATAATTATTCATACATAGCACATACGACCATGATGTTCAGGGCTTTACAGAACCAAAATAAACCTACCATTACATGAAAATTTTGAAGAGTATATTCCTGAACTTGCAGCTGCCTATAGCATTCTCCTCCATAAGGCTAGAGAAGAGGAGAGCTGGATATAAGCAGAGACAGTAGGTGAAAAAAAGACGGGCCACTAAGGATTCTTCAAGGAAAGCATTCCTCAAAATAATCTTTAGTGCCTTTATTCCATTCAGGCCAAAAATCCATCCAAAAATTAGAATGTTCGGAGGACATCCATTTGGGTCTATTTGTGACTTTTTCTAGTAGTCCTATCACAAGTTGACATCAGCAAAATTCAAAAAGAATTCAGTCAAAAGGGCGTAGATCCAGCTACCCAGACTATTTTGTGAGAGAATAAACTCACCCTAGTACCAGAAAGATTTGAGCAGAGGAATATTCTTGTAATGAATAGAGGATTGTTTGATTCTCAGGTATATTTCTTAAGCCAAAATTGAATGCAGTGTCAGACACTGCCTTAACACCCACAGAGATAAGATGAACAAGGTACTATCACTGCCTAAAATGAGCTTACAATTAACTGGACAGACATATAAAAACTTCTTTTCAATAAAGTCTGAGACTGTTTACATGCATGTGCTACTCTCAATGAAGTTTGTATGAGTCAATGCTGATTTAATGGGGCAAAAAAGTAGCAAATTTCCCCAATTGCTTAGCTGTTTGACATGTTTCTGAGTTGCAAACTTTGTTAACTCTTTTGACCCAATATATTGTTCTCTCTGTATTACCTCTTCTAACCACAATGCATTAAGAAATAATATTTTTATGTGGATGTTCTCCTCAATAAGTAAAGATCTCCATCCATATTTAATTAATTGGTAAGACAGTCAAATTCATACATTTACATTTATTTGTCAAATTTTTGACCTGTAAAAAGCATAGAGATCTAAAGAGGATACACTGCTAACAAGTTTAGAAAGCACCTGCTTTTTTTTGTTGTTTGTTTTGTTTTTTGTGATGGAGTCTCACTCTGTCACCCAAGCTGGAGTGCAGTGGCATGATCTCGGCTCACTGCAACCTCAGCCTCCCAGGTTCAAGCGATTCTCCTGTATCAGCCTCCCGAGTAGCTGGGATTACAGGCATGTATCACCATGCCTGGCTACTTTTTGTATTTTTAGTAGGATGGGTTTCTCCATGTTGGCTAGGCTGGTCTTGAACTCCTGACCTCAAGTGATCCACCTGCCTCAGCCTCCCAAAGTGCTGGGATTACAGGTATGAGTCACTGTGTCTGGGCCACCTGCTTTTTTGAAGGCAGAAAAGCATTCAATATTATTTCAACTCGCCTTGGCTCTAGTGAATGTTCATGATTTGAAAGGACTGAAAGACCTAAAGGCATTGTCTCTATTGTTGACTACAAATTTAGGCTCTTTGTTGGACTATGACTATAATCACACACTGATAATACGACCCAAGTCGAGGCAGTACTACTAAGTGTCTAACAGGTGCATTGAAACCCCATTACTAAGTCCAGAAGACTGTTTCCTAAATTTGAAGTGAAATAATTAAACGACTCAGTGGAACCATTTAGCTCTGGTCCATTGATCTGTGAGTTTTAGGGCTAGAAGGAATTATAATTTTGTTGTTTATAATTGCTATAATATAAAAATTATAATTGCTTTTCTTTCTACTTATGAATTAACTAGATCCAGAGGTATCTATTCAAGACACACATTCACACACACATACACACACATGCACACATACATCACAGCTAGTGACAATAGTTAAGATCAGGATTTAAGGATCCTATTTCTCTTAATCCCACTTTTTTTTTTCAATCGCATTCCTACCTTATCATAGAATTATGTCTCAATTTTTACAAATGTGAATGTCTTATTGGTATTTTTAGGACCTATAGAATGGTATACCTCGTGTAGAAGAACTTCGACTTTTGAAGGTATACAATAAATAAAACATCAAACTTGTTAGCATTCGTTCTGGTTTAAATATTTTAGGAGTTGAGTTCAGCAGAAGGAAATGGGCTATCACTACATTTAAGTGAAATACAGCCCTCAAGAAAGTGTATGGTTCACAGCCACTCCTTTAATAAATCCTGTGGATTGCAATGCTTTGTAAGAAACTTATGGAAAAGATATACTGATTCAACAAAATTGGTTTGCTGTTGATTATACAAACAAATAATTATGCCTGGAATTAAATTGTGGACACAAAAAGGGAACAGACCGTTTAAAATGTTTTATTTCAAAATATTGAAAAGCTATTACCTTCAATACTCTAAATATTTAAATATTAATTATTGTAGTCATCAGTAAGAACAAATAAATATTAGTCATTATAGACCTTACTAATAAGAATATATACTGAATTGTCCACATCCAGAGTACCACACCCTGAACAAGAAAGACATGAGAGCCTGACAGCCATATATATTATGACAGCTGTATATCTGACAATATGAAGCAGAAAATGAAAAAAAAATCATCTTAGTGGGAAACAAATACATGCTTAAAATAGTTATATTTACTGTAACACTCCTGATAATCTCAGATTGTGCAGAATTTTTTTTTTTTTTTTAATTGTGAGGGGCTTAGAAAGCTCAGAGCATTTGATGTGTAAAGCAACAGAATATTTAGGAATTATTTGCTGAGCCTTTCAATTCTTGCCTCCAATTGGAGGTTAAATATGAAAAGAATAGGAAACTATGCCTCTGATATTTTTGTCAGTCTATTTTTAAACTAGATTCCATGAGTCTTAAGGTAATCACCTAGAATTTTTTTTTGCATGAATTAAAGTTACCACAACTTTCAGGTCCTTACCTTATGACTGTGTTTGATCATATCTTTGAGCTCCCTTGAACTCTGATCTTATTTTAGAAAACTTCTTAACCATTACAATCAAGCTGTTAAATATAACAAACATCGGAAACTAAAGGATAAGCACAGTGCCTAATGTACAGGAGGGTCATATCAAATATTTGTTGAATAAATAAATGAAAGTCATTAGTTGTCGTAAAATATTTTTTAAGAGTACTCATGGTGTTTTTTGGCACCAACTGGAGATGATATTTTATATTTATTTGATTAGTCAGTTTGTCGCCTGGTTGCGAAAGTAAGGCATTTTAACTCCTTTCTATCTTACCACATTGTAAATCATCAAAAGAAGTAACATCGCAAGAAAGATTAGAAAGGATTTGGATCACGTTAACATTCTATGCAAATATTAGTAACATATCAACTGTTTCTAATAGGAAAGAAAATTGGTATTTAAGGAGAGTATAAAGTGCAAGCACTGTGAAGGGCAGATATCTATTACCAAACCACATGGAGAGAAATATAGTCTCTCTCCTAACTTCATTCCATTGTATTGCAATCAGTCAATTAAAGTGATTTTTTTTTTTTCCTGGATGTCTCATTTAGAGATTTTGTAGCATTTTGCAAATGAGTATGCTTCACTACTATCCAAAGTGTTCTCCCCTTTAGTAATTCATATTGAATGTATCCATATTCATATGCATTTTATAAAACGATTAACAGAACCTAAATAAGAGCCTGCTAAACCTGGAATATGAGTGCTACCCTAGGTTATGAGTTCAACAAACTGATTTTGAAAAAGCCACCTAACCTCTCTGGACCTTGTTTGTAAAGTTTCTTCTAGCACTATTACTCTTATCTAAGATCGAATTTGATATATGGATGAAATTCCTAATGGAATTTCAATAACCATCGCCAAGTAATTTTTTAGAATATTCCATACAGATTTCCTTCTCATTTCTCTGGGTAGATACTTAAAGTATGAAACTGATTACTTAAACTAACATGTGGAAAGAACCTAATCCGGAGCTTGGAATATAGAAAGTGCTCAATTAACTGACATTCCTCCTGTATTTCCTCCCTCCCTTTAGTTGTCTATGACTTTTGAACTCACTACTCCCTGACACCTTAACTGCCTGCAGAAAAATCAATCATATTTGGGGCATTATTTTGAAATATTTTAGAGTTTTCTGTACCATGAAGATTCTTATTACAAAAATCTGAAGATATTTATTGATGCAAAGAATCTAGGGAGTCATTGGAAATACCTAAGGCAATCCCAGGCTAACGATAAAATAGCATAATTTTAAGTAAGCTAGATTGAGTTCATTTAGAACATTTAGCTATTTTTTAACTCATAGTCAACATATGTCCATGCATTTGATTTACTTTAAAAATACTTTTATTTAAAAATAACCTCTCTAACACCAGTTGCTTCCTCTCAGTTTTACTCAAAGCACGCTTCCTAGGTCACCTGACCTAGAATCACCAGAAGTGTTAACAATACCGATTTCTGGGCTTTGAGCCATGAAATTAGAATTTCTTCAAATAATCCATGCCCTCCTGCCATCCAAAAAAAGAGCATGCTTTTAATACATTTCCAAAATTATTCTGTTTCTGCTATAACTGGTAAACCATCCTGTCCTAAACTAGCAGTTCTCAAACATGCATATGCCTTTGAAACTTCCTAGATCATATGCATAAAAATCATTTGAAAGATTGTTAATAATACACAGCTTCTGAGTCTCTGGGTGTGAGATGGGACCAGGAATCTTATTTTAAAAATCTCCCCAGATAGTTCTGGTGTCCTGCTAGTTTTGAGGTTTGCATCCCACCTGTTTAGATGGGAAGTATTCTATTACATATGAGGTATTATCTGTCTTTGGTTCACCTGGAATCTTCTTAAATACATAGGTAAAGTATTCTACCTCAAGATCCAAGACATTTTCTATGTCTAATTATTTCACACATGAGCATGGAACTCACCAGTCTTGTGATTTAGGGCAAGTTATTTATAGTCTCCAGACTTTTTTTCCAGTTGCAAGTTGCTTATAGTAGTTCACGAACCTGAATGCACATTAGAACCATCTGGAGAGGATTTAAAATTGCAGATGTCCAAACCCCACCTCCAGAGAGTTAATCTATTTAGTTTGAGGAAAAGCCCAGAAGTCTAACAGGTGTAAAGGCTCCACAGGTAATACTAATGTGGGCATACCTCAGGAAATCACTAGTTCTTGTCCTGGAGGAACTTTTAGGAAAATAAAAGGCTACGTATCTTGAAAAAAATATCTCTAATTTACTTTCTAGGTTCTAACTGCATGTTTATATTTTGCAACAGGAAAGACTGGTCTAGACAATTACTGGGATATATGCTTCTGTGATCTGCTTTTCTATTGTATGTGTTTAAGAGACCACATTCTTGGGTTCCAAAATCTCCTTGCCTGATAGATAGAAAGGTAATTTGCAATTGAGATATGGCAAAGAATTGCAGCATCCAAATTTTTGACAACTACAGATTTAGAATTGAATCCAAGGTCTGCCATTCACTAGCTATGTGCAAGTTACTCGACTTCTCTTACCCTCAGATTTTGCAGCTGTAAAGTAGAGGTAGCATATTTCTGAGAAATTATATTCAAGTGACTAGATATGTGTTCAAATGTTATCTTTTATTCTTATGAAAGATAATTGTGAGGAATCCAGGGCTATTTTCACAGTTTTAGGTCTAAAACTCTGAAGATGTTAAACAGGCAGCTTGTAGGAATCATTGAAATTTTATACAAGCCGAAGAAACAACACTCAGCAAAAGGGAAACAAATAAATACAGCGCAGAAGCATATATTCATGTTTCCCGTAATTACTAAGTAATGGAAGAGGTGTGAGGAGCTGGCAGTGGTGGTGAATAGGCATTGTTTGCATTACTAAATACATATACCATTTCTTAAAATAATTGGAACTCAAGCGGGCCTAATTTTCTCTCCCTGTTATGAGCAATCAATAAATTAATAGTCAATTTAACTTACTATCAGTTGGTATAGTTCATTTCACAGAATAGATAGAAAGAAGATTCTCAGAGACCATTTTCTGGTAAAGAAAAATGCCTAGGAATATTTAGCAGTTTGACTTAATCTATCACTTCAGCTGGTTCACTAGTTTTGACACAGGACTAGTTAATGATTTCTTAGGAAGTCTCCATGTACTTTTCGTAAAACTAATTTTTAAAAAAGT